GAGTGCCTAACCCACATACCTTCTGTGTCCCATGACTATCATACGCAACTTGTCCCCGAGGTCCTGCATTTCATGAATCTGGACAAAAGTTCCTGTGTGGTAAATTTCATCCAGGTTCTCAACCACATCAGACTCATTGCTATGGGGGAAGGGAAAAAAAAGGTTTCAGGGTAGCCCTTCAATCTCTTATCCAGAAAGGACTGACAAATCAGAAAGACCAAAGCAATGACTTTGTTTACTCACTAGTAAATACTAAGAAAAGATCAAAACTAAGAATTACACTTCCTCACAAACTCTTTTCAATTCTGCTGTGCCTGGGAGAATTTCTCATTATATGGGACCAATGTCCATATGAACAAAAAGCTATCTGCTAAGTATTGGCTCCTCCAAACACCCACTGTGACAAAAATGCTAAGGGGATGTTTTTGGTCCTACAAGATCTAAAAGGTGAAGGACCAAGATGGGACAAGAATTCATGATTCCTGACTCCCAAACAAACAAATGGCTCAATCCGTTAGACTATGCCATCTTTACAATGTTATTAGAAAGAATCTTCTAATTCATAAATTGAACTTTTTTTTCTTGAAACTAAGACAAATGTAGACTACATATACTATATAGCATGGATGCAAATTTTAAAAATCTCCATGTATTTTATTTTGAACACTTAAAAATTTATCCCCGGTTCCCTTCACCCCACCCTAATAACAGGATGATAATCAATCACCATGAATTACTGAATACCAAGAATCTGAAGAAATAGGAAGATGGTATTTTAGGACTATATTCTTAACTCTTACTATCATCTGTATCTGTATCCTGCCCACAGGTCAATTTCTTGAAAGTCTTTTATTCCTTGGATAATAATCCACATAAGAGTCTTATAAGAGGAGTTTTCCACTTCAGGGTAATTACTAAACAAATTAAATCAAATGCCACTTACTTGTCATCTCTCTTTAGAAAGACACCGGCATATGGCTGGGCAAGGCGGACTTTCCTTCTTAGCAGTTCAACCAACTTCTTATTTTTAACCTAGCATGACAATAACCTCAAGGTGAAATATGGACAGGTTTTCTAGCTATACATTTTGATAGCAACCTCAGCATTCATAAGACGATTTATAGGAAGAAGTGCAATGGTGCCAATAGTTTATCTATTCTATCCTTGAAATACGTTTCAAAAAAAGGAGAAAAGTGTTTTGCCTTTTTAAAGAAAATTCAAAGGAGAAATAAATAAGAGTTTTTGGTAGAACATGGAATACAGCATATAAGGGGCAAAATTTAATAGGTTACAAACCTAACCCTAATTTTTTTCCTCAGCTGTTGAAATCAACAGACCATGGAACACAAATGGGATGATGTCAGTTTTTTCCAAGTTGCCTATACTCTAAATCTACACAGTTAGTAGAGTAGTTCACACTTGTTGCGTCCTCAATAAATAACCGTTAACAACTTCTGGGAGCTCTCTTAGAAAAAGAATGACATGGAAGGGAAATGTTGTGCTTTTATGTATACCTTAATTTCTTTCAAGTTGTAGTTATTTAGCAGAGCTGATTTAGTTATAAATCTGCCCAAAGAAGAAGAGGAGTCAGGCAGACAGATATCTGGAAGGAGGGTAGCAAATAAACGATTCTAACTCTATAGTCAGGGGCCGCAAACACAGAAAACTGAGCTAAAAACTCGGTAAATGATTTAAATAAATGGAGAGTTAATTCAGTTTTGTCAGTAAGTGGGGAAAGCCCTCTTTTCTGCTCTAAATCCTCCCCTGCTTCTTTCTCCTGTGTTAATTGCTAACTGGGAGATCTTAGATTATGACCCTCCTATTGACAGTGGTTTCTAATTTCACTTCCCTCTTAACACTCTAAGTAAGGCCTACAAACAGTGCTAGGGAAGGTTTGATTAACTATCATTTACACAGCCTTCTCTCCCCCTCTCAGAGAACCATACCTAATAAAAAATAAGAAGAAAAAAACTCAGTTTATCAAAACCAACCAACACAACATTATATGTAATATTCTACACTAATAGTCCCCCATCTCCACAAAGGGAGATTCTCAACTCTCTCTTTTGGAGTCAAGTCTGGTTATAATTACATATCAAAACAGCTTACATTTCTATAACTTTACATACATAATCTCACTTATATTACTCACAAGTATTACTTCAAGAAACTAAAGTTTCATCAGAGTGAACACATTCTTGCCATTTACGTAGATTGCAACCCTTCTACAATTTTGTAGACACTTTCTCCAGTTGAAATGGCTGAAAAAAATTCCTTTGGTGAGTTCCTCTGAACTTAGGCCCGACTATCTACATATAATGCTACCAGGCCCAAATGTGAAATTTTTCCAGTTAGGTAGACTGAACTTTCAAAAGCTCACAATTCAATAAGAGCCCCGGCCTTTAGTACAACCATTAATCCCACTTCCCAAATGAGAAAGCAGCCACTAGACTTTAAGTAATATGACTCAAGCAGTAGAGCCTGGATTTGAATTCATGCCTTCTGAATCTTAAGTCCAGTGCTCTTTAACTGCAGGTAAGCCTCAAGGTGTTTGTGACCAGCTCCCACCTGCTCCTCTTTCTGGGCTATAACTTGATCACCCAAAACCTCGAGTACCTTCTAGAGATTTCTGGGTCAAGATGGCTTAATTAGGCTCAGAGGAGGAAGCAAAGCCTGACAGAGTTGCCTGGTGGTTAAACCAAAGGTATTATGAAGGATAGTGAGGCTCTAGAGTGACAATGGAAAGTATGGTGAGAAGTCCGAAGAATAAATTTACTGAGTAGAGAATCAAAATGGGAATCCCAAAGGCAGAGCTGTGCAGGACAGATCGTCCAGGGCTCACATATTTGGGGGAAGATATCCTTTAATGGGAGGCTGGAGCAGGCAGAGAACAGGTCATTTATGTACAATCAGTATGTAAAGGGGAAAGGAAGATTAAGAATTAGCTACTTGACAAGAATTTTCTCCATTTGGCCCAGCCTCCTCTAAGCTCCTCTCCTGAATTGAACTTTAATGGTATTTCTCCTTCACAGTTGTCCTGGATATTTATTTTAACCATATCCATCAAAACTTGATGGGGATGGAAAAAAAAAAGTATGTGTAACCCATACAATTTGCCCTAAGCTCTATAGGGCACTGTCCAGGAAAGACTCCCATTAAACTAAGTTTCTCAAGGAGCAAGGGATGGTCTTTTACTTCCAACCAAAGAAAGTTAGAACTGGAAGGATCACTAGAGATTATATGATTGAAACCCTTCATTTTGATACCAAGTCTCTGATTAAGAACAGTAATTTATCCAAGGTCATAATGTCAGCTAGCGACAGACCTGGGACTAAAGTCCTTCATTTTCTGACTTCCAATTCCAGGGAGTTTTGCAAGCATAGACCAACTCGCTTCTTTTCCAAGTGGGGAAAGTGAAGGCAATGGGAGAAGGAACCTGCAGCTTGGTCAGACCTTTGTGTCAGCCCGTCCCCATTTGCAGAAGTTTAGCAGACCTGTGTGACCTTGACCTTGAGACCTTCCCCTGGTCTGGGTCCCTTTTCTCACAAGTAGATTAACTAAAGGCAGTTGAAAGGCAGAGGAAAGAATACAGGATCTGGAATTGGCACACCTGGGCTGAACACCTGATTTTGCAACTACCATGCCTTCGAGTAAGTGACTTTCCTTTCCTATTCTGGGTATCAGTTTCCCCATCTTTAAAAGGAGGGGGTTAGCCTAGGTAGTAATAACTAACATTTAACAGTATTGTAAGGGTGTGTGCAAGGCGGTTTGCAATTACCTCTTCTGATCCTCAAAGCAACCCTGAGAGATAGGTGCTATTTTTATCTCCATTTTACAGAGAAGTAAACTGAGGCAGTCGGAAGTTAAATGACTCGCTGAGGGTCACAGATACTAAGGGTCTGAGGCAGCATTTGAACCCAGTTAGTCTCTGAAGCCCCTTCCTGTTCTGACAATCTAGCTGCTGCGCTTTTGGTGAAGGGATGCGGGACTAAAACTGCTTTCCTTCTAACACCGCGGCGAGGGAAGCAGCAGGAACGTGTTCCTCCAAAGGGGGCAGAGAGCTCGGCCACCTGGGTCGGGAAGAGGGTGGGGTGGCCGGCGGGCCGCTCACCTCGATGATCTTAATGAAACGGGGGAACACGGGGTTGCGGGTGACAGCGATGAGCGGCAGATGCGGGAAGACGTCCGGAATCATCATGGGCGTGAGCGCGGTCGTGACTGGGCCCTCTGCCCCTCCGCCCCCGGCGGCCCCAGCCCCGTCCTCGGCGCCGTCCTTGGGGCTGTCGTCGCCGCCATAGGCGCCGCCGCCCCGGCTGCTGGCCTCGTCCCACAGCCCCCGCCACGCGCTCACATCCCGCGCCGCAGGCCCGGGGCCCGGCCCCCGCTCCCACAGAGCCCAGGCCGGCGCCGCGCTGCTCGGCAGAGGCCGCAGCAGCGGCGGCCCGGCCACACATAGTCCCCGCCCGCGGCCCCGTCCCCCAAGGCCAGCTAGCTGGGGAGACCGCGGCCCCGGCGCCACCACCAGGCGCCTCGCGGCTCCCCAGAGGCGAACGTAGCCGGCAGTGGCCGCCATGCCCACCTCATTCTGAGGGTGCCCGCGCCGGCACGTCACTTCCGCCTCCGAAGAGAGCACGTGACAGGATCCTCCCACTTCACGGCCATCGCTAGCTCCACAGGTGGACAAAGAGCAGTCCGCGAACTTGCGCAGATTGGAGAAGGCCCTCACGGTTCCCCAGCTGGCGTCCCCTCACCTAGCCCCGCCCCTTATCTTCCTGTGACCAGTCACAGGAAGGAGGCGGGGTTGAAGACTCGGATTCGGTCTCCGCCCCGGAAGGCCGGGCGAAAGTCCCCCCTGGTGGGCGGGGCTTCGTGGTGGGCGGAGCGGGAAGAACTGACAGGCCAGGATTCTCCGCCCCGCCACTTCATCTCTCATAGCAACGGCTTTTGCTCGCGGCTGGTCCTGGAAGGAGTGGTCCGCAGCAGCCGTGAAAGTACCCTCGGCCTGGGCGCACGCCAGCTGTGATTGAATCGCCCTTGGTCTCTGAGGGCGTTGGGGCCAGATGTCGTTGACTCGCCTTCCTTGTGCTTGTGGCTTTGTTTGGCTGTTGGCAGTTGTGGCAGTGGCGTGGCTGAGCACACAGAAGGAGAATGACACCATCTATGACATGAAGTTGTGCAGGTGGGAGCTTCTTTTTTTTTTTTGGCTAGGCAATGGGGTTAAGTGACTTGCCCAGGGTCACACAGCTATAGTAAGTGTTATGTGTCTGAGGCCGAATTTGAACTCAGGTCCTCCTGAATCCAGGGCCGGTGCTCTATCCACTGTACCACCTAACTGTCCCGGGTGGGAGCTTCTTTGCGAGAACTAGTGGGCTTGCTGGCTGGTCCGGTCCCAAGGGTGTGCCGGAGGCCAGGGCCGGGGCCAGCCCATGGGGTCCCTGGGAGGAGGAGGTGAGACGGTCCCCAAGATCCACAATGAGGTTCTCATTTTACAGATGGAGAAACTGAGGCGGGAATTCACCCAAAGTGACCAGTCCACCAGGTGTGAGTCAGGATTAGAACATTGATTCTCTTTTCCCTACACCACTGTCAGCACAGTCTCCAGCTCTCCCTTTATCTCCTGTTTTTTGGTCCTCCCAAAGTCTGGGCTCTGAGCTCCCTTCCACCCATTCTGTATTCACCCAGGCCAGGTTCCTTCTCAGAAGCTGCTTTCTAAGTCTTGAGGCCTAGTGAGACGTTTTCATGAGAGAGAGGTTTTCTGAGGAGAGGGATGCCTTTCCAGAAGCTTTTTGAGAGCGAGTTCTGTCCTGGAGTCCCCTACCTCCTTACCTTCCCATTATGTCCTGGCAAGCCTCAGCCTTGGATCACTCCTACCACTTGTGCTGCTGAACAAAGGTGGGGAAAATTGTGCAGCCTTTTGGGTTGGGGCTGCTACACTGCCAGTAGGCAAAATCCTTTTTACACTTTCCTAATTAGTGCCCTATCCCACTCACCACAGACAGCAGCCCTTCAAAACCTTTTCATCCCTCCTCAAACTTTCCAAGTCTCTCCCTCCACACACCCTCTCAGAAGAAAACCTTGCCTCATATTTTACTGAATAGATTGCAGCCCTTTGCTGTCTTTTCTCCTCCTTATCTGTCATGCCTTCTGCCACACTCTCTTCTTTTACCCCTATTTCACACGAAAAGGTAGGTAACCCTTCTCTTTGCCAAGGCAAACTCCTCTCTCTGCACAAATGATCCCATTCCATCCCCCATCTTCTCCAACAGATTGCCTCCCCTCACTTACCTTCAGTTTCTCTTTGTCTGCTGTCTGTTTCCCTACTGCCTCTACAAAAGTGCCGCATGTTTCCCCTGTCCTCAAAAACCCTCACTTGTTGGATCATCCATCCCACAAACTGTTGTCCCATATCTCTCCTTTTTGTGGCTAAACTTAAGAGGGCCACCTTCCATACATGCCTTGTCCTCCTCTCATCTCACTTTCTTCTTAACTGTCATCCTGGCTTCTAACCTTCTGACATGTGGGACTTGAAACTGCTCCCTCCAACGATACCAGTGGTTTCTTAATCCACAAATCTAATGGTTTTTCGTCAGTCCTCATTTTCCTTTACCTCTCTGTAGCCTTTAACGCTATTGATCACCCTCTCCTTGATACTTTCTTCTCTCTGATCACTCTTAATTGTAGTGCCTTCCCTCTGTTAATTATTCCCTATTTTTCTGTAACTAGCTCATTTGTACATACTTGTTTGCATATGGTCTCAAAAACCTTAACCAATCTATTCCTCAACCTGCTCACCTCCTATGAGCTACTTGTCCACTCTACCTCAGCCACACACAGAGATGGTCATATCCTTGATCTTATCATCTGCAAATGTACCACCTCCACTTTTAAGAATTCGGAGCTCCCCTTATCTGACCATAATCTATCAGCTTTTCACCTCTCCCTCTCCTTCCCTTATATAACTCTAGTCTTCATCTGCAGTGACTTCCAATCCCTTGACCCTTCAATTCTCTCCCAGGCCATCTGCCCTAGCCTGCACTAGCCAGTCTCTCCTCTTCTTCCCATTTTGACACCTTGGTGAACATTTGAATGTGAGTTCCTTGATGTCAGAGACTGTCTTTTGCCTTTCTTTGTATCCCCAGCTCTTGGTCTGACCCATAGCAGGCATTTAGCAAATGTTGTTTACTGACAGACTGACAAAACCTTTCCTAGTAGTTAAAGAATGCCTTGGCCAGAACAAACTCTATAGGGTCATGGCAAACAACGCAGTGTGCTGCTCTAGAAGGCAGTACTTTCTCAATTCTCCTGTGAAAAGAAGTGCATTGAGATGAGGCAGCTATACTTTTCCAACCTTCTCCCTTACAAATTTTGAGATAAAAGACCAGGGTTAAGATAATAATCTATGATGGCCAGTAAAACAACAAGCATTTAATAAGCATCTGCTTATATGTTGGGCCCTGTGCTAGATGCTGGGGAAGAAAGCAGAAACAGCCCAGCCTTCAAGGAGTTTACATTCTACTGGGAGATACATGAACATTCATGCAGGCATGCTTGTGTGTACGAACATACACACACACACACACACACACACACACACACAGATGCACAAAAGTACACCAGTAAATACAAGATAGGTGCAAAGTAGTTTTCTGATGTAGAATTGGAAGGCCTAATGCTTCTACCTATCTCTGATAGGAAGCATCCAACTAAACACTAGTCAATACATGTCAATGTTGTCTGTATGTATTCGAAATTGAATTTTGCACATAATCTCAGCACTCAGCTGACTTAATAGCTGACTTCAAAGCTGTGTGTTAGCCAATGATGAGTTGAGCTTGTACTATATTAGGGCAAAGAAGACTAATATGGATGTACATGTTTCATTGCATGGATCTCATGAAAGAGTGAAGCAGTTTGGGACGTGTAGGAACAGGGATTCATCTTGGGAAAGTGCTACTGAGAATTTAGCACTTCCACAAGAGGGTGTCCCACCTACCTTTGTTACAATCAAAACAATCCTCTTTGCCTGTTTGGTTTGAGAAGACTGGTATATAGGAGACATTGATGGACAAAGGAATGTTAGAAGTCATGCAAGCCAAAAAGCAAGGAAGTAATCCTTGGGGGACTCAAGCTTTATCACTTTGAAGGCAGCTTATGGTTGAGATAAAGTCAGAAGTTAGGGCTGTGCAATGGAGTGCTGTACCTGACTGTGGCTAATCTCATTCATGGTATTAGGAGGTAGTTGATGCTATGAAAAGTACTTTGTTCTATTGTGACAGGTGTACATGATAACTTTGTACACTTAAGCAGGATTGCCAGAGAGAGAGAGAGAGGACACACTTAAGTCAATAAAAAAGACCTTTCTGGCCCATAGTGGCAGCAGATGTCCATAAGAAGCATGACACTGCCCAAAGGGACAAAGAAAATTGCTATAAACTTGGAGAGTACCAGCAGGATTTTGGAACTTGTATGCACAGATTTTTTTTCAGTCTCTGAAAGTAGATAGGAAGAATACCAGCACCATCTTAGTAGTATGTGATCATTTTACTTGAGTATGAGCAAACATGACTCCCGGGAATCAGAAAGCTTTTTACAGTTGGTAGAGTGTTTGGGGAAAAATGTTCTCTGTCTATGTTTCCTTGTCAAAATCTACACAGAGTAAGGTAGAAACTTGGAAAGCAAGCTCTTTAAAGGGTTGTTGGCCTTGGCCCATGAATCAAGAAGTCAAGAACCGTATGTTACTAGTCCTAGTGGAACTCAGCATTTCACTTGTCTGTTGGGAACCCAGAGACTTAAGAAGAAGGTACAGTAGAGTCAACATGGGACATTTCTAAGTGCATTAACACAGCTTGACCAGGAATGATGCTACAGGCTTTACAAAATATCTGCTAACATGTGAGCAAGGACAATACCTTCCCACTGACTTTTGGAGTCTCACAGAAGGGAGAGGTCAAAAGGGGCCTACCCTCTAGCTTTGGCCTCACTTCAGAAAAACTTTGATTGAAACTGGTGATAGTATGAAACCCAAGTTTGTTGTCAAGAGCTTCAACAAAGGGATAGAATTTTGCTAAGTAATTTTGGTGTGCAGGTAATACACAAGATAACAGACTCTGCCTTTGCAACATATCTCACACACACTTCTTTTTCTTCTCTGATACTGCTGTGATGGCCTGGTGCAGGCCCTTCTCATTTCATGTCTGAACTATTAATGTAGGCTACTGGTGGGTCTCCCTGCCCAAGTCTGTCCCCCACCAGACCATTCTCCACTTAACTACCAAAGTGATATTCCTAAAGCATAGTCTGACCACGTCACTAACCTCGGTGAACTCCAGTGGCTCCCCAGTACCTCCAGGATTAAATATAAAATCCTCTATTTGGCTTTTAAAGCCCTTCTACCTCTCTTCCTTTCCAATCTATGTATATTTCATTCCACTTACTCTACAATCTAGTAACACTGACCTCTTTGCTATTCCTTGCACAAGACACTCTACCTTCTGACTCTTCATTTTCACCCATGTCTGGAATGCTCTTCCTCCCTGCCTCTGCCTCCTGGCTTCTCTGGTTTTAGGTGTCAGATAAAACCCTACTTTAGCAAATAGCCAGTGCTCCTTAATACTAGTGCCTTCACCCTGAGATTACCTCCAATTTACCTTCAATCAATCAATCAGTAAATATTTATTAAGCCCCTACGATGTGTCAAGCACTGTGCCTAGCTGAGGTTATGTAAAATAAATTTGTAGTAGACCCAATCACAATGTTGCATGATTTTCTCCACTTTTGTTCAACAGCATGTGTATAGAAGAGAAGGCAACAAATGGTGAGAGTGATAGTAGAATGAGGCTTGACTGGGCATAATCAACAATATGATATGGGAGCTAGGCTTCCAAAAGAGGATAACAGTATAGAGTTGAATTGGTTCACCAAGGTGTCAAAATGGAAAGAAGAGGAGAGACTGGCTAGTGCAGGCTAGGGCAAATGGCCTGGGAGAGAATTGAAGGGTCAAGGGATTGGAGGTCACTGCAGATGAAGACTAGAGTTATATAAGGGAAGGAGAGGGAGAGGTGAAAAGCTGATAGATTATGGTCAGATAAGGGGAGCTCCGAATTCTTGAAGGTGGAGGTGGTACGTTTGTAGATGATGACAAGATCAAGGACATGACGATCTTTGTGTGTGGCTGAGGTAGAGTGGACAGGTAGCTCATAGGAGGCGAGTAGGTTGAGGAATAGAATGGTTAGGGTTTTTGAGATAGAATCAATATATATGTTGAAGTCCCCTACTATAAGGGAGTTGGGGAAGAAAAAAAATTATAAGCCAGATATCAAACTCATTGAGAAAGGAAGGGGAATGACTTGGGGATATGTAGACAACAGCTACCAGGGTTTTGATTGGGTGGTAGATATGAACAGCATGAACCTTAAAGGAAGAGAGGTTACTGGGTGATGGAGAAAAGGGGAACACTTGAAAGTGGTAAGGGGAAGTAAAGAATATTCCAACTCACCCACCTTGACCAGTGAACTGAGGAGAATTAATGAAGGTGAAGCCAGTACTAGAAAGAGTGGCCAGGGTGGCTGTGGACAGGGGAAGCCAGGTTTCAGTAAGAGCTATTAGATGGAAGGAGTGGGAGAGGAATAGATTTAAGATGAAGGGAGGTTTGTTGCTTATGGAACAGGCATTTCAGAGGGCACAGTGGAAGAGCAGGGTGGAATTAGGATGAAACTTGGGTTGAGAGGATTGAGGAGCATGGCAATTGCATGGTGGGGAGAGAGGAATAGAGTTTGGATGATGATCTAGAAGAGTTCAGAGTCACTGCGATATGAAGGATATGACCAGGGGTGAGAATATTCATTATTGAAGGGAGGACACCACTCCTGTTATGCCTGTCTTTTGAGGGTACAGGAGATCAGAAGGGAGGATTGCTTTTCTTTGTACTGGAGGTTTTTCACATTCCATTTGGAAAATTGGGCTGGCAGCAGGAGGTTGAAGATGCATTGTGTACTGGTACAAATGGAAGTGGTTGCTTTGGGGCAGATAGAATCCTGGCCTTTAGAAGCCTTTCCTCAGGGAACATGATGCACCCAGTAGTAGTTTGCATGTTGTCTTCCCTGTGAGAATGTGAGCTCTTTGAGGTTGTGGACTGGTTTTTGCCTTTCTTTGTATCCCTAGTGTTTAGCATAGTCTCTGGCACATAACAGGTATGTATTAAATTATTACTATATACCAGGTACTGTCCTAGTTGTCTGGGAGAATACAGAGACAATGGATTAATCCCTGCCCTCAAGGAATTTGTATTCTAAAGAATATAATATCCACACCTGCAAGAAAAAATCAATCCTAAAGGATCCCACCTTTTTACTATCTTGTGGCAATGATAGAGATTTCCTGGGGAGTCCTACACTCTCAGTCACTGGTTCTCAAAAGTGTGACAGCCTGGGGAGGGATCCCAGAGAGTGTCCATGAGGTCAGAATTATTTTCATAAAAATATTAAGACATTTTAATTTCTAATACAGTAAACATTGATGTAAGCCACATAAATGCAAACTCTTTGGGGCCCTCCATAACTTTTAAGAGTGTAAAAGGTCTTGAGACCAAAAAATTTGAGAGTTCACTGTGTTAGCTGGGGTGAAAAGGTCCACATTCTAGATGATTGCCTAAGTGAGCAGCTGTCTACTCCAGGATTCTACCTCTCCAGTGGAGCCCTGCTAGTTTGTTGGCAAGAGGTGTGTAAATTTGTGCATCTATCTAGTCAAAATGATCTCTGAATCCCAAACCCTCTAGCTAGCCCCACTCTGATGAGTATTATTTTTTAAAGATATCTGTTCCACTTGAATCAAACTAAGTGATATGAAACTAGGTGCTTATAACTCAACTCAACTGTATAGAATTTTTATCTCATGATTCATTGATGTTCTAGTACAGGGGTGGGGAACCTGTGGCCCTCTAGGTCCTCAAGTGCAAAAAATCAAAGGGCTGCACTTGAGGACCTAGAGGGCCACATGTGGCCTTGAGGCCACAGGTTCCCCACCCCTGCTATGGATTGTGTAGAGGCAAATAGGTAAACCAGGGATAGAGCTCTGGACCCACAGTCAGGAAAACCCGTGTTCAAATCCTACCTCGGATATTACTGACTGTGTGACACTGAGGAAATTGTTTAACCTCTGCCTACTTCAGTTGCCTTCCTTCTAATATGGGAATAATAATAACCCACCTCCCAGGATTGTTGTGAAGATAAAATAATATGTTTGTAAAGCTCTTTGCAACCCTGAAGCATTTTATAAATGCCAGTTGTTATGAGCTATCATTACTCACATTGATTCTTAGATGTGCTGTACTATGGGTGGACTTGATGGGAGAAGGGTATGACCAAGATTCCAAGATATCATAGAAAGAGAATGTATTTGTAAGACAAATTTACCTTATTTGAAGCTATGGGAAGAAAGTTCCATCAGTCAGCAGCAATGGGAACCCATGTGAGCTTTCTTTCTGTATTCTGTCCCAGTGATGCCCTATTTTTTCAGGGTACCTGGTTCCTGGTAGATAGTTTCACTTTTATCTTTAACTCCAGGGCTTAATATGGTACCTGGTAGGTAGCCATGCACCCGGTAGGTGCCAAATAGCGGCTTATGGACTGATTACTTGTTTAATATGGGTATTGGTATTGAAGGAGAATAACAATAAAGACTAAGAGATGTTAACATTATACTGATTAGGTAGATACTGTTCATCCTATGACCATTAAGTGAGTCATTCAGTGAATATTAAGGGACTTTTTTTTTTTTTTGTTCCTTATACAGCATTAAACAAATCAGAACTGGGAAGATATATAGAACTGAAGCCGTAGAAATGGGGGTAGGTTTGTTTAGTATTTCTCATGTGCTTTTCTTTGGTTTTATTTTGTTTTTGTCAGCATAAATATAATGATGATGATGATGATGATGATGATAATATTTTATGTTTATATTTTATCTTACAGTATCCATTAGGCAGGATGGGCCTCCCTATTTTATACATGAGGAAGTTGAAAGTCAGGTTGTCATTTGTCCAGAGTCATTTACAGACCAAGTGACAGATACAGGACTTTTGACTAGAGTCAAGGGCTCTTCACTATATCATTTGATAACAGGTTAAAGGAAGAAAGAAAAGAAATGAGCAGTAAGTGTTTACTATGTGCCAGGCACTGTACTAAGCACTTTTAAAATATTATCTTATTTGATCCTCACAACAACCCTGGGAAGTAGATACTCTTATCATCCCCATTTTACAGTTGAGGAAACTGAGAAAGACAGAAGTTAAGTGACTTGCACAGGAACACATAGCTAGTAAGAGTCTGAGGCCAAATTTGAACTCAGGTCTTCCTGACACCAGACCTAATGCTCTAATCACCACTTAGCTGTCCCTAGGTTAAAGAATTATACTTCACATGTAGTAGATAATTTATACTTGTTTGAACTGAATTGCATAATGCCCAGATAGAAGAAGCTGCAACTTTTTCATAAGGAATAATGCCAAAAAAAAAAAAAAGTACTTCATATTGCACCGTAGAGATCTCTCTAAAATTTAGGCATTATTTTTTTTGGAAGTTGAAATTTTTTTCTATTGACTTGAATTTTAATTTGTCAAAGAGGCTTTTTTTCATATAGAAAAGTATGAGGAGTTTTAGTGGACATCAATCTTATTATGAGTGGGTCAGTAGTACGACCTGGAAGCAAAAACAACATTCTCTTAGGTTGCATTGAGAGAAGCCAAGCGTACAGAACACAGGAAATGATATTCCTAATATACTATGTCCTTGTTAGACTACCCATGGAATATTGTGTTTAATCCTCTGCACCACTGTTTTAGGATGTATGTTGACAAGCTGAGGAAGCAAGATGTAGTGGAAAGGCAGCTGGCCTCCAAGCCCACCCCTTATTTATACTGGCTGTGTGATCCTGGGCAAGGCACCTAATCACTTAAGGCTCTAGGAAATGCTTAAGAGTCTAAATTGTAGAGAAGGGGCTGACCTGCGTTAGGCAGAGGGCATTTCCTTACTTGGGAGTTTTGTAGACCATTCTCCACCTCAACTCTATCGACCAGCTAAGGGGCAGCCAGGATAGCAAGAGGCTTGAAACCACATAATTGGAGGATCAGTTGAAGGAATAGGGAAACATAACCCGAAGAATAGAAGATTGAGTGAAAAGGTAACTTTTCAAATATGTGCCTTCAAATACGTGAAAGGTCTTCATGTGAAAGGGGGATAAGAATTGCTCAGCTTGGCCCCAGAGCCATGAGGGAAAGTTACATAGGGGTAGGTTTCAGCTTGATATAAGGGAAGACTTCCTAGCAATTAGAGCTATCCGAAATCCTGCGTTTGGTTCCATGATTCTGAAAAGTGGGGTGGGCCTCCTTGAGTGGTGGTGGATTCCTTCTGTCTAGAGATTTTCAAGAAAGGCAAAATGACCACGTGTGAGGGCTCTTGTTTTAGAGGGAATGCCTCTACAAGTGCTGGTTTTACCAGGTCACCTCTCCGTGACTGCTAAACACTTGACCTGCAAGTTATCTGCCTTTTAGTCCCTTTGTCAGAACATTTAAAAGTTGCTGTAAATCTTTCTTGTAAGGGTGGACAGCATAAGGATGGGGTTGAATCCTAAGTAGTCCATTTAAAATATTACATCTGTAAATTAAGCTGTGAGATATGTCAGTTAGGTCCTTAACCTCTCAGGCCTTCCAGCAAAGCTTTAAAATAATGAATTACAGGCAAATTGCACCATCATGTTAGGCCACATCAGTGGAGGGAATTTCTATACTAGGAGCTCCCTATACTTGATGAAATCACAAGTCTGGAACAATCTGCCCAGTTCTCCACACCTGCCCTCCCCTCAATAAAAGAAGGAAAAAAACCTAAAAGATTAGAAAAGTTTGACAAAGAAAGAAACCTTTTGCAAAAGATTAAAGAAATCCTTTGGCAAAGTGAAGAATCTAGGTATTAATGTGAATAATCACCCACAGATTTCAGGAGGTCCATGAACTTGGATGGGACAAAATGACATCTGTATTTTTAATAACCTCTAAATTAGCATTTCCTTCACTTATTTTAAAACATGATTCTGGCAGGGAGCATCATCTTCACCAGATTGATTGCCAAAGGGATCCGTGACATACAAAAAATTAGGAATCCCTGCACGAAAGGAGCTGTTAGAATTTTCATCATTATCTTGGGTTTCCTAAAAGTAGACAGCCTGTTGTTTTTTCAGGTTGATTGACAAAGCTGCCTCAAATAATTTTATAAATAGGCAGGGATATAAATCCTGAAAAAACCAATAAGTAAAAACTTTCAAATGTGTTGATATGTTCTAAAATGCAGAAAAGGAGATAATATTTAAAGAAAGCCTTTGGTAAATCTAGTTTGTATCTTGAATAATCACCTAATTTATGTTAGCCTTTTCACATCCATCTTCAATTTCATTATTGTGGGCATGTCTGTATGAGGGAATTGTTTTGTTCAAGTTGATTGACAATATGACTCTATGGTTATCTCTCCAGGATGTGCTATTTTATGCATATGATAAACCACGAATTCTTAAGCATCCATGCAAATCTAATATGGCTCTGTACATGGGGTAAGAAACCATTATAGATCAATACTTTGGGGGGGAGATTAAAATATTGTGTTCAAGTAAAGTACCTAAAGATAATAGCAAATATTATAAGTGTGACAGGGGCACAGAAGATATATACATGTGTGGAATAAATATTGGTCATGTGGCATTCACTTAGAATATTAGATTGTAGATGCTGTCACATCCATAAAAATGCTGCTCAGAGGTTTGAATTTGCTCATTGTGCTTTGAAATTAACCACTAGGTGGTGCTCTACTTGAGTTACCAAGACTAAGTGGTCACTTAAAAAACAAACAAGTAAACAAACAAAAACCAAGTATCAGTGTTCTCCTCAGCCACTAGACTGGGCTCAAGACTGCAAATGGAAGGACTTCCATTTGCTTTCCTATAATGGTACCGTTGCTTTTCTTTGATCTCAGAAGTAGTTTTTTTTTTTTTCTTTTTTGGGTGAGGCAATCAGGGTTAAGTGACTTGCCAGGGTCACACAGCTAGTTAAATGTCAAGAGTCTGAGGCTGGATTTCAACTCAGGTCCTCCTGACTCTAAGGCCAGAGCCACCTACTGCCCCTCAGAAGTAGTTTTTAACCCATTGTCCTGAGTTTAGTTGGAGAGAGGAAATATTGGTAAAATGTTAAAATATGAAATAATTTTCAGCTCAGCCCCCACACTCTAACCAGTTTACTTGCTCAAGCCTTTCCCCTTTGTACCTGTATTTTGACACATACTCTGCATGTGTTAAATGGATTGTTGAGAGTTGAGTAGATTATTAAGGGCTGTCATAACCAACTCCATCTTTTTGCTGAGTTGCCACTTGTTTTGGGTAGCTTCTATACATATTGCAGGATCAGCTTACAATGGCTGGTTTCCTTCAGTGTCTCCTTTCTGGAGACACTGTCCAAGGACCTTGCTACTTGTCTTCCTTATCCCACGTCACAAGTGATATGTCGTCATTTATTCTCTTTAACAAGTACACATTCCTTCTTTATTCCTTGTAGATAGTGGTATGTGTCCTCTTTAACAAGTTTGCCTCTCTGTTTATAACAAGCAGCTATCACCTCTTTGTCTCATGTAACGAGTGGTATACATAATACTAACTAAATTGTAAGAGACAGACATTTCTATCCACTTGCTGGTAGAATGTATGTCACTTAGAATGAATAAAGCTGCAATGCTTTTGTCTCTGTCTCATGCTAGTCAACTGGCAGTGGCTAGTCAATGAGCTAAAAAAAAAAGAATTCACATGACATATGTGATTACTTAGCTTTAATGATACAGAATTAAAATGCAAAAAAAAAAAAGACACTTTCCACCTGTTCTACCTGCTTCCCTATCTCTGGTGCCATGAGAAAAGTTTCCGTTGCACACTTCCCCTCTCCACCCCCATCCCCTTGCCTCATACGCAAAGGAGGTGATGTTCAGCCACCTGTCTAATAACATAGATTAAAGGAATGCAGTATATCTGAGGTTTCCTTCCTGGAATCTCAGAATTTGCTCTGCCAGCCTCAGTCTGTGAATCATTTCCCCAGACCATAAGGATTGTCACAGAGACAAGATGAAACATTCTTCTGGATGACATAAAGTTGGAGATGAGGGTCTACTTAGGGAAAAAGTTCTTTACCCCAGCATGTACCAGGTGGTATGAAGAGAATATATTCTCAATATTAAAAAATCTCAATAGAGGATTGAATAGGGATTTTATTATAATGCCCAGAGTCTATCTTGGTTCTCCAGTGGTGAAACTATAAGCATCATGGATTTGTTTCCCTCAAATACTCAATATGCCCATGGATCCATGATCTCATTCATTGGGGTTTTCCTTCCAGCAATGCTAATTGCAACTCATCCATGCCTGCACATCCTGTAAATCTCTTGTCCCTATTCTTCTCTAAGTTTACTCCTGAGGGATCACTCAGTACTGGGGGAAAGGGTTCCTTGACATTGCAAGGATAGCAATAGAGAACAAAGCTTTCTATCTGTTTTCCCTAGCCCTCACCATGTGACCAGTCCATCTTTTCTTTTTTTTCCCCAGTCACACATATCTTGGAAAATAGCCTTTACTGTAATTGTCTTTCATAATGTGTTTATAGTGTGTCTTACATTTCCAGTCTTTTTATACCTTAACTCCCCTCCACATACTCTATCTTGTGACCTTGGCCTCCTTATACTTTGTCACAAATGACAGTTCATTTTCTGACTCCATGCAATTTTACTGGCTGCCCCTCATTCCTGGAGTTCTCTTTTTTTGTCTCTACCTTCTGACTTCCCTGGCTTCCTTCAAGTCTCAGCTAAAATCTTACTTTCAGCAAGAAGCCTTTCCCAGCCCTCCCTTCATTTTAGTTCATTCCTTCTATTGACTATGTCCAGCTTCTCCTATATATATTTTGTCTATACATCAATATTTGCATGTTGTCTCTTTTTTTTTGTATCCTCAGTTCTTAGTACAGAGCCTAACACATAGTGTTTAATAAATATTTGTTGACTTGTTACAGTCTGCTCATGACCACTACATACCTCTCAATTGTCCCTGGCTGACCCTCAATTTCAGTTCTATGGAGACAGTAGTTTTTCACAGCTCACATCCATACAACAGCATTCAAAGAACATTGATATTTTTAAAAATAAGCTTTTGTTTCAAGGAAAAGCTTACTATCATTAAAAGAACTTTACAGTTTCTCAAAGTCAATGCAATCCACTTCCCCATCCTGCTCAATTCTGGGATCAAATCATGTCTATTTGTAGATAGTTTGAGATAGTTGTACTGCTGTACCTAGGTTGTGTGTACAATTGTAGATAGTTTGAGATAGTTGTACTGCTGTACCTAGGTTGTGTGTACAATTGCATATCATTATCTGAACAATAGACATTCTTCATTTATTTAGTTTTTCTCTAGTGGATAGTCAATTTCTTTTGTGGATAGTCAATCACTCTTTTGAGTGATTATGGATTTCATCCAGGAAGCTCTGCAGTGTTTCAGGACTTGATACAAATCAGCATGTTATCTGTACCCCAAAATATCTGGATGGGGAATTCCTCAATTTTAATTTTGCTCTAGATCTTCTCATGACAATTGTAAGCACATTTGCATTTACAGGGAGCATATATATACTTGTCTTACCCCTTGCTTGATATTAATGATCAGTTATTCATCAAATAATATTATCTTCTATTATTCCTCTTAAGGAATATAGGTTTGACTTATGCATAAGGAATATCTTAAGGGCAGCTTTTTTGCTCTACTGAATCAGATTTTTTTTATAGTTAACAACGAGTGGGATTTTGTATTTTCTGCATCTTTCAGTCAACAATACGATGGTAAAGATGTGGTCTATTGTGGAATATTGGTCACAAAATCCTTGCTATTAGGGCACTTCTGGCAAAGATGGTGATGTGAAAAGTTTTAGCTAAGTTCAGTTCTCTTGAGAACCATCTTGGAAAAGATGAAAAAGAGCACTAATGAAGCAAAGATTCAATAAAAACAAAAAGAAATAGCAGCAGGCTCCTCCCAGGGTTATGAAAGAAGTTGACTGGACTTCTGTGAGCATTCTAGTTGGGGGCCCACCATCATGTCCTAAAGCCAACTTCAGCAAAGCTCAAGCTTCAGCAAATGGGGCTTGAAGACAGTGGAATCTCGTTCCTCATCTGTTGGAGTCACTCTGTGTTGAATCAGAGCTGTGGAAGAGGGCAGGGATGGGGACCAAGATCCAGCCATGCCATCCAGAATGATAGCAGGGCAGCAGCAGTGGTATCTGATGCAGTTTAGGGGTTCAGGGGTCTTGGGACCCCAATATCACAACACACAGGTCCTACCCAAAAGAATTCAACCCAAGCCTTCTTTCAGAAGAAGACAAGGTTTAGTAGAACATGTCATATTGGGCAGACTCTTAAGGAGTCTGAAGATTAGTAAACTATTGGCTAGATTATAAGAATCTGACCAGTGGCTAGATTTTAAGAATCTAAGCATCTTAATGGAGATGAGATGGACCTTATATACAGAAAGACTGTGGGAGGGATCTAGGAGTGGCCAAGTAGTCCATGAGGTAATAGAATTACCAAGGGTGGGAAGTGGCCTGGGGCCATAGGGAGGCAAGACAATGGAGGAGAGATTGGGTATAGCCACAATGAAAAGCCAGTTGATGGGATTATAGCCTCAGGCCATGTGGGAAAGTCCAGGGTTTTTCCTTTCTGGGGTCTAGATCCCAACCCCATCAATATCTATACTGCAAAGGCTATAGGACAAGGCCCAGACACCTCATCTAAGAGTGCTGGAAGGGGACAAAGGTATGGCTTTAGCACAAAATACCAATTTAGAAACTGGGGCTGGAGACATGAGTGAACAGAACAAAGCTCACAACGTGAAGAAACACTATTATGCGTTAAGAGAAACCCAGCAGGTAAACTCAGAAGATGAGTAACTTCACAAGTACTAGTACAGAAAAAAGAATGGCCAGTCACAAGGACTTTAAGACTGGTCAAAAAAACCCCACAATAATAAGTAAAAATAGGGGCAGCTAGGTGGTGCAGCAGATAGGGCACTGGCCCTGGAGTCAGAAGGACCAGAGTTCAAATTTTGGCCTCAGACACTTGACACTTAATAGTTGTGTGACCCTGGGCAAGTCACTTACTTAACCTCATTGCCTAACCAAAAAGAAAACAAAACAAAATATGTAAAAATAAAATGAGAACTCTTGAAGAAAAATGAGAATAAATAGCTTAGACTAGAAAATGGAAAACTGTACCTAAGTAGTAAGTATCTCCTAAATATGGAATGGAGTAAGCAGAACTTAGTGACTCAAATTGGACAAGAAATATTAGAATAGTCAAAAGATTCCCTGCTGAAAGGGAACTCCCCTCATGAATGAAACTTAACCCTGATTGGTGGACATTTATTGAGGAGGCTAGCAAAAAGTCTTCAGCTCCTCCTGCTGAGAATGTGGCTTGATCATGAGACTTAGCAGCCTCAAAGCATCTGGACAAGGGAAGCCATCTCCATCTGGACCTCTC